TTATTTAATATGATGCTCAGCCATTGTTTCCCAGAGTTTTAGGCCATGAAGGTGTCGGGTAAGTTCGAGTCATCTCTTCTCTTGTGAGTTTATTATTTATTAATGAATGCATCCAATTCCAGACTGTATGTATGAATATCAATAATCAATCAGTGTTGTTTGTCGCATAATGAATGAATGAATTAATTAGGACTGTTGAGAGCGTTGGAGAAGGAGTGAAGGACCTGAAAATCGGTGACCTTGTGATCCCGACCTATCTGGGGGAGTGCGGAGAGTGTGAGAACTGCAGATCCGAAAAGACCAACCTCTGCCAAACATACCCTCTGCAGGCCTTCACGGGCCTAATGCCAAGGGACGGGAGTAGCCGAATGTGGGCGCGCGGACAGCCTGTGTACCACTTCCTTAGTTGTTCCACGTGGTCGGAGTACACTGTCGTGGATGTCAACTACTGCGTGAAGATTGACAGCAGGATGCCTCTTCCACATGCCAGCTTCCTTTCATGTGGTTTCACTACCGGATTTGGGGCCGTCTGGAGGGAAGCTCGGGTCCACAAGGGATCAACAGTTGCTGTCTTGGGTCTTGGAGCTGTTGGCCTAGGAGTACCCACCTCACTCTCTCATTATTACTAATTAAGTCGTCCACATACACTTACTATGACTAGCTTATAAGTTTTCTGTACTTAGATAAGCTTCGTTTGGTAGGACGAGCTTTTTTAAAAAGTTCGAGCTTATCTCATAAGCTTCTTTAGGTAACTTTTAAAATAAGCTCGCTGAAATTTTTATTTCAGCTAGCTTATATGCTAATTTTACCACACTTTTATCATATAAGCTAGTTTTTCAGCTATAAGTCATAAGCTATAAGTTGTAAGTTATAAGCTCGAAAATTATTGATAAGTTATATGCTAGCTTATCAGCTATCAGCTAGTTTTACCGTGTATCTATTTATTGCTAATTGCTAATAGTGTATGTCCATTAATACTATATAATCCCATCAATTTATACACAAATATCGATCATGACAGGTGATAGAGGGAGCTCGACTTCACGGGGCGTCTCAAATTATAGGGATTGACATAAATGAGAACAAGCGTGCAGTTGGAGAGGCGTTTGGCATGACTCATTTTATAAACCCCACCAAAACGGACGATAAGTCCATTTCGGATTTGGTTAAACAATTGTCAGGAGGCTCTGGAGTGGACTACAGCTTCGAGTGCACAGGAGCTGCTCGATTGATAAACGAAGCCCTTGAAGCCACTAAAGTCGGAATCGGCAAAATGATGATGCTTGGAGCAGTAACCGAAAAATGCGTTGAGATCGACTTTGTCACTTTGTTGAGTTGCAGAACATTCAAGTATGCCGTCTTTGGCGGTGTTAGAGTCCAATCAGATCTTCCCCGTCTCATCCAAAAATGCATCAACAAGGTACTTACTCGCCTCAGTGATACTACCTTCCATTCAACTCCTACCCTACCTTACCCTATATTTTAACTTTTCTTCTGCAGCAAGTTAAAAACTTAGACAAGCTTCTTACGCATCACTTGTTTCTAGAGGATATCGATAAGGGATTTGAAATGCTGAAAGAACCACAATGCGTCAAGGTTCTAATCTCCATAGCTCGCTAAAACTAATTGCCTGTCTCACGCTTCACTCTTGTATTCACTTTGAGTTGATCCAGTTGTAATTTTCCCTTGTATTTTGAGAATTTTCACTAGTACTATCACAGCACAAGGAACGCGTGTTGAATAAGGGTTAAATAAAGATGAATAAGAAAACAGAACAAGACAAGTAATGTAGGCTAAAAATTGAATATGCAGAAATTTATGGTGGCCGTGCGGTTACTTTTGATTCTTGTGTGATAAAAAGGAAAACTGCCAAGTTATTAGAGATTTAAAAGTGGAAAAGAAATGAGCTCGGTTTCGGGAAGCAGATTGCAATCTTCTCTGCTGCTTGGTACATAAATGAGTGATGATCTATGGAAGTGAAACTATGGGCATGGGGTAGAGGAAACATCTTGACTGCCTATCGTTAAAAAGAAATTTAGGTACACCTCACCTCAATCAATAGAAATTATATCCATTTTTTTTTTTTCATGAAAGAAGCTATGTTCGAACAAGTGGAGAAAATGTTGTCTGCATCGCCTTTAAACGGTCATTTGTGGCCTTTTTGAAGCAATGCAAATATTAGAAAATGGGACAGATGCCAATCCTGAAGGGTCGCAATCTTAACATAAGATTTCAGTTGCGCCACAAATTAATTAAGATAGATATAAAAGGGCGAGGAATTTCTTGCATAAGAAGCACAAATAATAACGCTTTTTTTTTAAACGAATAATAACGCTTTTTGAAAGGAAAAACATATATATTTGTTTTACGGATATTCCATTTTTTGCAAGGTCTTCCTAACCATAGTACAACAATCACTGGTCACAATTTATGAAACCAACATAATATGGCAACTTCACCATTCAATTAAGAGAAAAGTGCATTTTTCGTTCTGTAAGTTTACCCCTCTGGACAATTTAGTCCTCTTCGAATAGCCATTTTGATTTTCGTCCTCTAACTTTTAAAAAAGGTTGCAAATTCGTCCCCGACTCGCCGGAAACTCGTTAATTGCCTGGAAACACGCACGTGACACGCACGTGATGGAAATTAACGGCTCTTTCGGCCTACGTGGTGCCGGATTTCACACGCGGACATCTTTACTTACACGTGGCGGCCGAAATTAAAAGAAAAAAAAAAAAATTCCACGTGTATACACACGTGGAATTGGAACGTTGATAAAATGAATCGGCCTACTCCCTACTGTTTGTGAACCATTTCCATCTTCCTTCAACCCTAATTTCCCAAATCTCAAGATCCCCAAATCTTCAAGAACCCTAATTTTGAAAATTGTTGATTTCGTTCTTCAAAAGTGTNCAAGAATCCAAATGATTCCTGAGAAGGTGTTCATCCGGAAGAAGATTCGTATGCACAATGGACCTCCCACATACGGTCAGTGATATTATCTTTCTTTGTTTATGGAAAAAATTCGTGCAATGTAATGTCGCGGAGTATTTCGTACAATTAAAATGAAATTAGGGTTACTTGCAAATCATAATTTTGTTTGCAAGCCGTAATTTCGAAAACGAATTAGAGTTCTTTTGCAAACCCTAATTCTAAATACAAATTAGGGTTCGTTTGCGAACCCTGATTCTGAATATAAATTAGGGTTTTTTTGTAAACCTTAATTTTGAAGACAAATTAGGGTTTTTTTTCTAACCCTAATTTCGGTGACTGTAATGTGGTTAAAACCCCTAATTTCATTCAAAATACAGTTATACATTCTTCAATTGCTTATTGTTGTGGTTATCTGAAAATCCCTAATTTCTCTCTGTTTGTTGTTGTTTGGTTGACTTGGGTTTGGTTCCATAGAAAGTAGAGATCACATAACTATCCAACTTTGGTGTGGAGGTCAATTTTTGCATACTCCAATTGACCATTATCTTGGGGGTTCTAGTATGATTTTTGACTGGTTAGAGAAGTCAAAACTGTGTCTGGATACATTGGGTTGTCTTAGTGATCTATTTGGTTGTGTAGGAAATAGAAGGTATTATTTCAACTCGGGTGCTACATTTAACTTACTGAAAGATGATGCAACTTTATGTAACTGGGCTAAATGTTTCTATACTAATAGATTGATGGACATACACATTGATCTAATGGATGAAGGTCAATTTGTGCCTACTTCTAAGTATGATGAAGGTGGTTGGGTAGAATTGGAGAAAAATAATGAGAGTGAAGCAGAGAGCAGTGAAACAAGTGAGAGCAGTGAAACAAGTGAGAGTGAAAAGACAGATAATGAGGGTTGTGAAAAAAATGAAGGCAAGGGTAGTGAAAAAAATGAAGGCAAGGGTGCTGAGGTACCTGATAGGGGTGATGATGGGTGTGATAGTGATGGGGGTGATAGTGATGGGGGTGATGAGGGTAGTGAAACTATAGACAGTGACTTTGATCTTAGATCAGAAAGTAGTTGTGGGAGGGATGATGCAGACTTTGATCACAATGTAGACAAATCTGTGGAGTCTGAAATTGAATCTGAGTCTGATAGTGGGGAAGAAGATTTAATTGAAACTCCACTTGATTTTGATGAGTTTTGTTCAGATACTGAAACAGTTGAAAAGAGAGAAATTGTATTTAATCCTAGCAATATCTATGATCCAACATTTGCACTAGGAATGGTCTTTGGTACTAGAGCAGAGTTTAAGAAAGCTGTACAGTCACATGCTATTAAGTCCAAAAGAAGTGTGAAGTTGAAAAAAAATGATAAGATTAGGGTCCATG